AAAAACAAAAAATTCTCAAAAAAAAAAAAAAAAAAAACATAGAAGAAGACATTATAAACACTTGTAGCAGATATTAACCATCCTCAGAAAAATATGCAAAAATGAATCTATTATTTACTCAGGAACATAGTTTGTAGTTTGTACATAAAGTCCGGCCAATACCTGTCCAGTTTATGAAATGTTTACTCATGCTAGTTTGTTTGTTCATGTGATCATTTTGTATGAGGGTGTGTGTGTGTGTGTGGGCGGGGTTGTAAAGGTAGAAAAGTGGAGCTACAAGGGGGATGGGGGAGAGTTGCCTCAAGGGATAAGAGGAGAGAGTCTGAGTATGTTATTTGTGTATTTGAGTATCCTACAATCCCAAACAGTAAATCCCACAGTGTCAAATATGCAGTGTCTAAGTACAGTTATTGCAACAACAAGTGGAGTAAAATATACACTACGTAGAGATCCAATTTAACACTAATTCCGAGTGGGACCTAATGCACTCTTAAAGTTTTACTTTAACACTGCAAAATTTACTGTGCATGTGCTTCTTCACAGCCAGGGCTAAGTCCTCCTTATGCTGGTTCGTGCAGCCTGCATTGTGCGCTGTCACCCTGAGGTGCTTTCATCACCCCTCAAATAGGGAACTGATTAAAGTTGTCTCACTTACTCTTAGAGCAAATCTTCTTGTAAAATATTATGCATGTATGTTGTTTGTTTATTTATTTATTTTTTTGGGGGGGACAATAGTTAAACCTCAGCAAAGCTCAATTTATACCAATGTGCTATTGCTTTATCCGGTTTGCAGTTGTAGATAGTTCTCTGGGTGAGTAAATAGAAGGGTAGGTAGGTGACACTATGCTGCATATTTACTGATGTTCTCTGACATATGTTTTATAGAAAATCATTATTTACCTTTCAGTTTTAATTACACAGTGGAGTATTCTGCATAATAAGTTGATTTCTTTAGGTGTCTGAGTAAAGATTGAATGTAAATGCAACCGCAACCTTATAGAGATTTTAACTTGTTTTAAACCTTTGCAAGAAATCCTTACTTCTTATAGGCAATAAATGAAGTACCAAATAATGATTCAAACTTTCTGAAACTGTTGTACATGAAGAAGGATTTCTTCTCATTGGATGTGTGTCTGGATGGCCCAGATCTCTTAGTAACCAGCCAATCACATGAGCAGGCCAGCAGCTGGATGTCCCTCCATGACCTGGACTCAGTGTAGGTAACCTGAGTGTGAGTGTGTGTGTGTCTTTGTAGATGTAAGCGTGTGTTGATTTTCATTCTCCTGTTGTCTCTGTGAATCTGCAGTGGAAAGAGTTTGGCAGTCTTTTGGCTTTCATTTCAAAGCTAACAGCACTTCCAGACTAAAGAGATGGCTCTGCTGATAGAGCACCAGTTCAGACAGCTGCCGGCTGACAGGCAGGTGGAAACAAGGCCGTTCCTGGATGCTGTGTCCTATCTTCCATCTTTCTTTGGTAAGTTTGGATAGTTTTTTTTTTCTTCTCTTTTTAACCAAAAAAAACATAGCAAAAACCATATTTGTATTAGAATACTATTTATGTAATTTTTACCATATATTTTAAGGGAATATATATATTAGGGAAATAGATTGAGAAATGTATATATTTCCTCTCTTGCTATTTAAAATTAACTGCTGTTGATTTGCAAAGATTTATCACAAATCACACAACCTGTAGTGGTCAAATCTGAACTAACAAATCCCCAAAGTTTACATCAAGAATGCGTCTCTTTCTAAATGATAATCTGTTTTGGATCGTATTTCTCCCCATCAAGCAGTCCACAGTCCTTCAGCATGCATAATTTAATCCACTGGCCTGGATTTTGAGTTGTGAAAATTGATTAGAATGGTGTTGAGTTGCTCTCACCCATTCAGTAGCGGCACGAAGCAGTGGTGCATCTTTGTGCGACTTCATTCTGTATTAATATGCTAGTCCCTCCATTGAATTGCCACGTGAAACCCTTGAAATGAAACAATTCAAACGCTGCTAATAAACTCTTTCCTCCTTGTCACTATTGTTTTTCCTGACCTAGAAATATCTAAGCCAACTTTCCTACAAGCCATTCAGATCTGACACATTGTTCAGACGAATTCACAATAATGACTGTCTAATTAGACTTGGCTGTTAGGATAGGGCTCAATTAAATTCCCTAATTGTTCCTTTAATTTAGCCAAAGTTGCACCAATTATGATGGCTTCCAAACAATCTCTGAAGAATTATGTAAATCAATAGCATTTTTATTTAGTAGATATCTTTTCAGCATAATAAAAGGTTTTAACCTGTGATGTAAAACTCTCTGAAACTTGATAGGGTGTCATCAGTGTCTGGGTGATGTGACACGTGTAAGTACAATAGATGACACTTATGAGTAGTTCCCACCAACAGCTGAGGGGTTGAAAGAGGTCAAATGTTGCAAGTTGGCTTGAAACTGTTTGTGGTTGGACCTTGACCAACCATTCAGCATCCCTTCATAAAAGCCCAGATCATCAGTAGAAAAACTATTTTTCTTGGTACTTTGCAAAAGTATTCATACCCCATTTTTGTGTATTACATCATGGTCGAGCCAAAAGTAGTAAAACTGTTTAATGTTGGTCTTTACTGACCATAACATCTCGTTCTACATAACAGCAAAACAAACTTTTTATGGCCTTCTGTCAACACATAAATAATGCCACTCTTTCATAAAGTACAACTATGTGTATAATGAATAGCTTATATAGCCAATACCTATAGATAAATCATGCCAAGTTATTTTAAGATCATTGCAGCTCCTCTAGAGTTGACATTAGCCTATAGACTGCATTTCGGATCATCTTTTTCCTACTTGTTATTTTACTTGGACAGCCATTTCTTAGATTTGCTGTTCTGACATAGTCTCTGTTTTCAAAAGATGATTCTACATTTTCACCATGGTCATTTTTAAACCTTGTGATATTGCTCTTAACCTTACTCTGCCTTATATTTCCCATCTCTCTCCATGACCTTTTCGCTGTGTTCTATGGCACTGAAGAGGCTTTTTATCCTCTAATGTTCCACAGGGTGCTTTACAAAACAGCCACATTTACACTGAGATTGAATTACACACATATGAAAGCAACTGTCTGCACTGGCTTTGATTATAGAGTACTGTATTAAAGGATTAATAAAAATCCACAAAACACTTTGTATTTGTAAAATACAAATTTATATGTCCTGTGTGACTGTAAGATATACATACACATTTTCTTTAAGGAAATAACTCACAGAAAAGTGTTTTTATTACTTATTTATTAGTACAACTTAGAGGACAAATAGCTTTTTATTACACAGGTTTAAGCCATTTCTCATCAACAATTTTGTGCTAGGCTTTTGTGGTCAATCATAAATGAGTAAGGCTTAGAAAGACAGGTTTATAAAAGGCTGAAATAACAGTGATTCACAATCAGTAGGTAATTGATTAGTAATCAAAGATAAACTAATGTTTTCAATGATTACATTTGAGATTGGCTGAATTGGAAAAATAATCTGCGAAACTAAAGTCTTTCCTACTAAAAATAACTTTTGACAAACCATTTCTGGAAGCATTTACTCGACTCTCCTGTATCAGCTGGTCTTAAGTAAAAGGCTCAACACTCTATGACAATGTAACTGGAGGTGTATTGGTATTTTTTTAACAGCTTTTCTCAGAGTGCAACTTGTTAAATATTCATATTCAACAGTCCCAAATGAAATTCTGCACAATAGATAATGTGCAAATTTAGAGATAAGGTACTTCTGAAAAAATGCCACATCAAAAAGAGGCAAATCACAAGAAGGGATTTTGGGCAGTGAGCAGTAGAAATGCATTGCAATGGAATAGGCAGGGCAAGGCAAGACAATATATAGTAGCATGATTGAAAGTACTGTACATGATAAAAACAGAAGAGCACATTGCAGTGGCATAAAGGCAACAGAATAGAGACCCTAGACAACGCTTTAGCTAGCATTCTTATATTCTCATTTTTATAAACAATGTAATAAACGAAAGTATACGAAAACTCGTACCCCTGTTTCACCTAATCATCTTGTCTGAACTTTCACAATAATCTTTGTCAGCTACCATCCTCTTTCATCCATCAACATCATAAAGGAATTGTCACTTTGTTGACATAAAGTGTTTGGAAATCGTTTGTAATTTTCCATGATAAGGAGTTGGCATTCATGCACAAACCGTTTTTGAATTGCTAAATTTAATCAAAAGCACAACTTAGCAGTCGTACAGTAGTACATTCCATTCAAATCTGAAAGTTTCATTTATCTGCATGCTTGCTAAAGCAAGAATTTGAACCTGGAAACTTAGAGGTGTGCAGTCCGATACGGTTTCAGATTCAATTAAACATTTGCTACAGATATAAACTATTTATTAGCACTTCTGATGGTTTGCAGTCATTAAACAAGAACCCCAGTCAGCACTTTGCAACCTCTATTGCTCATATAGCTCCTCAGCAGTTGATAAAGCTTAATTCATTACTTACATCTAGAGCTTCTTGGACAAATCATCTTCAGCGTAAATATGACCATTGTTTATTTTATAGGCTGAGCTCATTTACTTCTTGAGATAATTTGGCAAACTTACCTTATTTGTTGTTTTATTTAAATCTCTCTCACTTCTTTCTCAGACTGCCTTGGCTCTATTTTTGCACCAATAAAAGCAGATCTATGCAGTAACCTTACAGTAAGTTTGCTTTGTAATTTTCCTTCTGTAAATGCATTCTATTGCTAAATTAAAATGATGTCTCAACTGATAGAAAATTAAGGCCGTTTATGATACCAACCCTGGACGCTACAAGACCATTCAGATGATCTTAGAGACAGAGAAGGAAATGCATGGAGGTGAATGGCCTAAAGTCGGAGCAACGTTAGCACTTATGTGGCTCAAAAGGTCAGATGATTTGTTTTTATACATTTTCAGTTCTACAGTAGTTTAATATTTTTTTATGATACCACCTCCAGATGTCCATACCCTCTCATCCATGGTTTCTGTTTCACCAGGGGTCTCAGATTTATCCAAGTTTTCTTACAGAGCCTGGTGAATGGGGAAAAGGACGACAGCAATCCCAACCTCCTACGAGTCAATATCACCAAAGCTTATGAAATAGCCCTCAGGAAATATCATGGATGGTTTGTTCAGCAGCTCTTCAAGGTCAGTTCAGAATTAGGATGTTACATTGTTTTAATCAGATGTGTGAAGCTGTCCCTGATTGTGTGGTCCCCTCTTTTAGGCCGCTCTTTACGCTGCTCCCTACAAGTCAGATTTCCTTAAGGCACTCTCCAAAGGTCGGGAGGTGAAGGAGGAAGAATGCTTGGAGAAAATCAGGAAATTCCTCATCAACTTCTCTGCCACTGTGGATGCCGTTTATGAAATATTTAATAGAATGAACGCTGATCTCGACTACAAGGTGTGACGACTGTTACGGGGGAACCACTCATTTTCAATGTTGTCCTGTTTTTTTTTAAATCCTGTTTTATTAAAATGATTTTCTGAGTGCTATTCTCATTTCCTCTCAGTATTTTGTTGATAATTTGAAAAAAAAAAGAGTCCACATTTTGAGGGATTAAAGGTTCCACATGAATTTGCACTATTTTTTTATTTTGTTTTCCTTACAATAGTTCAAATAAATAAATCACAATGTTCTGTGAATTAGTACTGTTTTCTCTAAAATTTTAGTCACCTGTCTTTGTCCTATCAGCAGACAGCAAACTCATTAAAGTGGCCACACCACCCTTGTGTTCCTTTTATTCAAATAAATGTGTGTCTGTTTATCTTATGTACCAAAGTTAGTGATTCTTTGTAAACCTGCTATTTACATTAATTTAACCTTAACCTTGACCCCGTGATCACCCACGGGGTGACTTGAACAAGAATGCTCCATCTGATATAGTTCTATCGATCCAAAGTGCTTTAATGGAAAGTAGATGAACTTCTCTTGATTTTTAAAGAACACTGGATAGAGGTGATGTCTGAATACTTTACATTTAAGCTCCAAACATTATCCTCTGCTAGATGACTGAGAAGCAACCCCATATTCTTAAAGCATTTACAATATTTTCCACCCAAAGTACAATTAAAGTAATGTGCAACATACTGTACTAATATCCCTATTACTTTCCATATTTTTGTCACAAAAAAAGAAGAAAATTGAAACCTGAAACACCACCTTCACCAAAAAAAAGAAAAAAAAAGAAAAAAAGAAAGATAAGGTGGTAGTAGCATCATGCTATAATTTCCATCAGCAGACAGTGAAAGCCAAAGAAAGTCCTGGAAGAAAACCTTTATGGGTCATCAGCAGAGTTGAGGCTTAGGCAGAGTTTAGACCTTTCAGCAGGGACACCACGCCCCCACATACAACCAGATCTTTAAATTAAAGTTCATTTACATTTTAGAAATGTCCAGTCATCTAATTAAATGTGTTTATGTAGGTGAACGAGACTAGCTACTCTCATCAATCTTATAAGCTATTTTGAACAGAGGAATGAATAAAATTGTCAGTCCTCAAATACGAGTCAAGTCTAAGGAAGCTGGAAAAAAAAAAAACTTGCAGCACTTTTCAGATTAGTTTGAACATTTCCAAAACTCTACATTTACTTTTGCTCCATAAAAATCTATATCTTTGTGTTGGTCTATTTAGCAGCAGCCCAGTAAAATAGACTGTAGTTCCTGGATGCAAAATTTAAAAGATCAATTGTAAAGAGCAAGGCACTCTCAGATGCTGCGCACACAAAGATTTTTTTTTTTACCCACAATGAATGTAAAAATCTCTGTTAATACAAATAGTTAAGGCCATCCTACAGTCTTATTAAAGTGCTCTGATAAAAAAAAACATGTTACAAAGTACTTTATTGTTTAGAAAAACACATTTTCCATAAAATGTTTTAGGAAGCTGTTAGAACAGAACATACCCTAGAACCTGACTTTGTTCACACATTGTAGGGGTCATTGGTATAAACACGTTAATAATTTACAATAAACATCTGACATATGAGGAACCATCCAGAAAGAATCTGTGTTTGAACTGAGTCTCTGGAGTGACCTGTTTGTCTTTGGTGCATGTCAACATGTTCCCTTTAGGCTACGCTTGCCACACCCTGCTGGCAGACTATATCATTCTTACCCCCCCTAAACTGTGGATGTTTTATTCAGCAATGGTTTAAATCAGAAAAACCCTGAATTAAATACCGTTAATAGCGAATACAGCAACCCAGACAAGAAAGAAGAATCCAAACACTAAACCAAAGGCCAAATAATTATTTATTTAAATACCATGAAAATCTAGGAACCTATCTTCTAAATCGCTAGTGAAACTGGTTTCTCTTTTGTGCTTTACATCATGTCTCCCCTGTTGAGAGCAGACATGTTGACCTGAGAGCCCACTAGATTATCTTGTTTTAAAAAGTAAAAGAGGCACTATTTGTGAAGCTACAACCATAATTTGCTCTGCTGATATTTTTTAGCAATTGAATGCTGAGGCAGAAGACTTGCTTGAATGTCAGAATAATATAATACTAGATTGATGTGTTTGAGATTAATCGAAATGAATTTGTAAAGTGACGTGAGATTACTTGCACTATAAATAAACTATTAAAATAAAATAAAATCAGTTATATTATTGGAACAAAAGTACAGCCTTTTTAAATTTATTTGTAGCCTAGGAAAGACTCTTATTAAAAGTAAAAATCAATGGATGTGACATTGGTCATCCATCTTGCATGTTTCCCCTTTACTTCACATACAGCCAATTTTTTTGTGTTCAAGACTTTGTTAAAGACTGTAAAAAGGGGGTGAAAGTAACTATCTGATGACAATGGTTGCAAAACACAAAAACATTTTTTTTTTTTTTGCTGGGAAATAGATCTTATTTATGTTTTGATTATCTGTAAGAACAATTTGGGAAAATTCACAGAGAGAAACACTTGAAAGATCTCACTCTCTGTGACTAAATAATAAATAAGTTCTGTTTTTTGTATGAAATCACTGAAAATATTTTGTGATTTTATTCCAATTTCCTTAAGCCTGCACGGTGGCAGGGTTTGCAGCAAGGTCTTGATTCCCAATTAATGGAAGTTTGCATCTTCTCTCTCTAAATGCATGGGTTCTCTCTTGGTTCCTCTCCCAGTCCAAACATTACTTGCATGTAAATTAGTGTCTCTAAATAGCCTTTAGAAGTGTGTGTGTGTGTGTGTGCACAGTTGTAAGACTTTGTGTTGCCCTGCGGTAGACACTTGACCTGCCCAGGGTCTGCCCTTGCCCTTTGTCCATAGAGTGCTGGAAAAAGGCACCGGCCCCTCCATGACTCTGATGGATAAGCACAAGAAGATGGATTCCACTTTACTAAGAAAAACACGTGGCTTGAAAATGACCTGCACTCCTCCACAGGATAAAATATTTATAACAAAAGTGGTACATTGAACATTTTACTTAAACAAACTATTAAAAGACAGTTTTCTGTGGTTTCTTTGTCTGTAGAAATGATTAAACAACAGAATCCTAATGCCCCAACGTCACCCAGCATTTAATTCCAACTGCCCCAACTTGTTCAGGTGTTTCCTGGAATAAGCAGAAGTTTTCCAAGGATGAGGTTGAGCCTCATTGAGTTGTGTTGTGGGGATTGAGTCCGCCTCTAGTGGCTGTACGAGGTACTGCACCTCACACTTCCGCGGTTTCTGCTAAGGCAAGGTAGTGGCTACTTCTGTCCCACCCAAAATCACTGAAAGCATCCGTTGTTCAGCAGAGATCTCAAATGTTCCGACTCACGAATCAGGGGAACATTATGGTTTAAATTCAAACCTTTGGGTGTAGACATTAGAAGCAGTAGAGAGAGACTGGGAGCGACTGGCAAGAGAGGAAATAAGTTAAACTGAGGCAAAGCGGAGTCAAGTGGTTTGAGGAAAAGAAAGAATGAATCAACTAACTAAAGAAGGGTAAGTAATATATTTTATTCCAGATATACTTACCTGTAAACATTTAAAGGAATAGTTCATCTTGACTCAAAATTGATGCATTTGACTCTAAATCCTCTGAACTAGTGCCTTAATATTGTAAGTATGGTCATTATTTATTTCACTTCATGTTTTGTTTACATTACTGAAAAAAATAATGTAACAGTTTTTGACATTTACTTAATCATATTTAGTTACTTTAACACAATTGTTTCATGTTAGCAGGGTAGGACATAAAACAAGTGTGTTAAAGTAACTAAATATGATTAAGTAAGTGCCAAAAACTGTTGCATTATTTTTTTTTTCAGTGAGGAAGTTTGGGATTGATGTGTATAAACTCTAGGTTAGACACAACCCTCTGCTCTGGATAATGTCACAGCTGCAGTGTCAGGACAGGACCTCTATCATCAGGAAACGGATCACTCCTAGTTGGAGACTGTAGATTTCCCCTTCCTGGACCTAACAAGTTGATGATATATGGATTTTGTGTGTAGTTTGCATTTTTTAATGCTCTGCTATTATCATTGTCTAATGTTAAATAAAGAAAGTTTCCCCTTGCCTGCCCAAAAGCCATTTTAAACACTCTGATGCATTTCTTCTAAGCCTCTGTCTTTTTTACTATCAGATGCCTGCTGGAGTGTAAAGGCATTATAATCCCTTGTGTCAGACAGAGTTGTGAGTCATTGTGCTTGTGTTACTCTTCGGCTGCTGGGGTCACAGTAGATATGATTAAATCAAAGTTTTTTTTTTTTTAATCGATTTTGACTGGTTTTATATTACAATAACAGGAATAAAAAAATAAACACATTTCTGTTATTGTCTTGAGTTTTACACATAGGGGCTGTGATTCTTCAACCTACAATAAACAAGTTTGGGGCTCAAGCTGATTTCAGCATGTCTTTGTCAGATTTTCCACATCTCTTTTTGAGTCCCTTTTCACACAAATAAACATTTTGTATGTCTACAGTTTATTTACTGGTTTCTTCTAATGTTTTGCAGATTGCCCATGTGCTTCCAGATATTTCCCTGTTCCTTCTGAAGTGGAATTTTGCACTCTACTGTGAAAAAAGGGATGAATGAGGTACAGAAGAGTTAAAACTCACTCTGTAACAGCTTAGTTTGGATCCTTTTCCCAATACTGTTCTGATATTTAGGATTTCAAAATAATAGTTTCCTCCTAAGTAAATTAATTTGTATTTCTTTGGAGAGAAAAAATATATTAAGATTAAATTACTAGATATCATCAGGATTTGTTGAGGCACACAGTTATAACTAGCCGAGTGATATCAAAGGAATAGGAAGATTGAAAATAGAAAACTCTAAAATGTGTGGTTTGCATGTTCTTTCAGAATTATATAGCAAAACATGAAATAATGCAAAGGCACCTAATTAGTCTATTAGCCTTATTATTCTTACCAAGCTGTTTTCTGAAAGTTTTGGAACTGAGTGCTGTTGTATTCATCATCAGCTAATTAGACAGAGTATTGCACAACTTTAAACCTACCAAGTGAGAATCTATTGATTCCAGATCTATTTATTGATTCCTTTGTATGAATTAGACCTTTATGGAGAAGGATGATAGTGAAGAAACTGTTAAAAGAAAACATAAGAAGTCTGATTGATCACTAAATGTAAGCGATGAAGGAAGCACAACCGACA